TCTCTCCTTGTATCTCTTCTTCTCTCTCCCGTATCTCTTTTCTCTTTCCCCCTAATCTTCTTAAAGTTGTACTGTACCATTATAGTCTGGATCAAGTAAAACGAAAAATAACATTAGTAGACGTACCAAAAAACCCCATCAACCAACTCATCTATCTCAAACAAATCACTCAGTAACCCATCAACCAACATTAGTTAGACTTTTTTTGGGGATTAGGTGACGATAATAGATAATTTTACGGTGATGATTTTTTTCGGCGATTCTGAGTCTGCCCGGTGGTGAGCGTGATGGGTAAACCAAAAACTAGATTATCTCATAGAGAAATTAAAGGAGACAGTGGTGGAAGATTTCTCCATTGAATAGCCCATTTCCACGCCATTAACAACAAACCCATTTCAATTTAGGAATTTTTCTTCCAAATAAATTTTATTTTTTGTGCTTCAAAAGTATTTCAATTAAAATAGAATTTATAGGGATTCTTAGTTAGACCCGCATTAGCGTTCGCTGTCCCCCATCCTACCCCAATTCTTTTGAGATTTGATTTTATTCTAGGGAATTCTCATCTTGTATATCAATATATTTTTAGTATATATGTTATATATATCCATAAGAAATTATGTGTTATACAGTGAGATATACAAGAAAAGAAAATAAATTTTTTATATACATTTTAATATACACAAAGAATGAAAATAAAATTATGATATACATTTTAGTATACACATTTTTTAATGTGTTATACACTGTGATATATAAAAAATAAAATTATTTTTGTGTTATACACTTGAATATAGAGACAAAAATAAATTATAGACAACTATATTTATAATTTTATATTTTAGATATACCAAGAAGGAAAAAAAAGTTATGATATACTTTTAATATACACGAAGAAAGAAAACAAAGTTGTGATATACATGTTAATATACACAAAGAAAGGAAAAAAAAGTTGTGATATACATGTTGATATACATATATATTGTAATGATATATATTTATTGGCTATCTGATGCAATTATCTATAACTAAGATTTATTTCTGCTAATTACGGGGGTATATTGTCACACCATGCCAAAATCTCAAAAAAGAATATGCATTTCACTTTTTCTAATGCCCTTTCGGCATTTTGATAGAAATGAAAAAAAGAAGTAAAAGATTGTGATTCATGTGATCAGGGGGAAAAAAGAGAAGCTCGCGCATACTTTGGTTAATATGCGGTATATGTCAAATATAAATGACCAAAAAAAGATCTACATTCATGAGTAAGATAAGGTCTTGAATTCTTACCTTCTTTCTTTCAAAAGTTTATAAATTCAAAAATTATCTTCCTTTTTTATTAAAATTTTGTATTTCCTATTTTAATTTCCTACTATAGTAACTATTGGAAAATGCCCAGAGGTGGAGTCAGGATTTGAATCTTATGAGTTCGAAATTATAATCATTTTAAGTTACTGGGTTCTATATTAACAAGTTCTACATATTCAATGAATTTCTTAAGACAAATATATGAATTGAACAAAAATTACTGGGTTCAGCCAAACTCACATCCCGCACTCTACCTCCGCCCCTGAAAATGCCCCCCTAAAACTGGCGGGGCCTAAAGCACCTGTCTTAATGGCTTGTGCATTGAGTCGGGCCCTGGGTTGGGGAAGCAACTAGGAGGGATCAAACTCTTTTTATATGTAGCTTCGTATATTGATGGCTTCTTTGACTTCTGAATTAGCTTGCAACAAGCATTAGTTATTAGTATACGTTCATTGGTTGCATAGAGCGTTTATTTAATACTTTTAGAAGTCTTGTTTTAGGCTTTAAAACCCTTGTTTTAGGCTCCAAAAGTAATAATATTTGAGGGCCAAAAAGATACTCTCCTCATATGTATGTATACTATGAATAAATGTGGAAACTTCATCATACTACAATACCTTGAAAATATATCATCAATCAAATCAATGTACTTTGAATGGCTTGTATGTTTTCATACAGAAGATACAACTAAGAAGAGATCTCTACATGTCATTGTTTTATAATTATAATTTTTCAAAAAGAACTGAATAAAATTTAGGAAGCAATAATAACAATATCAACCAAAAATAAGTTTTTACTTGGTATATATCATGAAACATTATATGTTGTTGGCTCGTGTCTTTCCCCTAAAATTATTAGTTATCGCTCACTGCACAACTAGCAATGATAAAAGAATTAATTGTCAATTCGTACGCTCCACAATCTTTCGACTGCTCGTTCGAGAGCTACAATTTTTAGCTCTGAAATTGCATTATTTTGCTGTATCTGAAAAGAAATTTCTAACTAATAAGAACAAAATTCAGTTGAAGTGAATAATGTTTGTTTTCTTATGTTTGATGTAAACATTACCTTCGAATTGAATCAGGTTATTCTAAACAAATAAGTACTTTTTGGCCGTTAAAATTATTATGTCAACCCCCAGTTGGTTTGGAGGGTGGTTATCCATACGGATGATCTGGGATCGATTCCCCCCTCAATGCCTTTTGGGTTGAGCCTGTCGCATAGGGTTTTCCTAGTGCGTTTTACATCCTCTGTGTAGTGGCAGAGGTTGTAACGGCGGCGTTTCCCCTCTTACCAAAAAAATAACATTAGTATGTCAGTCTATTCGACATACAGTCTAGTTGTCAAGGCCTAATGATTCAAACTCAATCAAAATGGTCAAAAAATTATAAATCGAACTCTAGCGTAAATCTTGATTTATCTAAAAGAAATAAATAAATTATAGAAAACAATTGAAACAATAATAGCAATACAAACCAAAACGAGTTTTCAATTGGTATCTTGAAACATAATATGTTGTTGATTTGTGGCTTTTCCTTATTATTATTATTATTATTATTAGTTATTATTCTCTCCGTTTCGATATATAAATTTTCTTAACTTCATTATTGCAACTACCAACATGTTGATGATAGTCGCTTTAATTTCTACCAATAACCTTTTCTTAATTGGGGCTTCCGGTATTAAAACAAATAGTATCAGTTCACTACATTTTCGAGCAAACATAAGGCACCTTAAGATTTAACTTTTGCTTGACAGGTAGTTCTTCCTCTAATAAGACATGGAGCAAATGTGGATGTTGATAACAAGGAAGGATGCAGGGGTGCTTGTACAAGCTTCAGATGAGCCCAGTATTAGTTGATGTTGGTAAGACAATGTCTGGATGTAAAATCACCTGGTGCCATTAGTGAATCAATATATTCAAGGCAAACTCTTTAAATAGTTGACATGAAGTGTGCTATAATTTGTGAAATAATATGCTTCTGATGCTTCTTTGGTTACCCGGTAAAAAATATTGTATTTGAATCTATGTTTTTAGGGTTATATTTTAATTGTAAAAAATATATTCTACTAGGTTGGTTAGCGTTAAACTCACTTTGAGATGAATGCCATGGTTTCCCTTTATGGAGAAGAGTTAGGTAGCTCTTTAGCTACCAAGTTTAACTTAGAACTTGGATTGAAGAATTAACTCAACGATATGACCTCCTAAGTCTGGTTAAGATATTCTTTGATATATCGGCAAAGATGATTCTTACTTCCTTTATAGCGCACGTGTCCATCATTGCTGTCGTAGAAACAAAGTTTTATTTTTAGTAAGGTTTCAATTCTCCATTCTTTATATTTTACTAATACTAAACAACACAAACAAACAATAATGTCGGGCACAAGCCCATGCTTTTGCACGGGCAGAGGCCATCTAGTATAGTATAATAGAAGAGCTTTGGTTTCGACGTGTGTGCTTCCCGTCAATAAATTTCAATCAAGAGCGAATTAGTCATTATATTTATATAAGGAGATACGTGGCATTTATTTCTACGGCCACCGCCATAGTTCTGTAACTCGTCCTCTTCTTTCTTTTGATCTTCTTCAGCCTTCTCAATGACACTTTTCCAAGTTCACTGGTTTGCTCCTGTTCCAAAGTAACAAAATTTTGTTCTTTTCCTCTTGATTTGTATGTATGATATTTTTTTCCTCATTGTATAATATTGTTCCATCTATCTTAAAGTGTTTGTTTTTTTAACGGATAATACATAATTATCGCCCTAAAGTTGTATCACTTTATCAGTTGTACTCTTATATTTTACGGGAGTCGTATAACCCCTTGTCTTTATTTGGACGGTAATAAATATCATCTTTTCAGGTCATGTGTTGCAGAGACTGAATAACTCACTTGAAGGAGAGTGAAAAGCAAAAAAAAAAACATATTAAAACTTTAATTTTGAAGTATTTTTCTTATTCTTTCCTTCTATTCTTCATTTCACATTGTTCTCCTTCTTTGCATAGTACTTGCCAGAAAAGCTGTGATTCCGATAACTGAAGCAAATGTAACTTTACAATTATGCTTTTCCATTTCTATTTTACTTTTTTTTATTTCTTCTTTATTTTTCTTCTTTCTTTTCCCATTTTTCTTTCCTTATTACCCGAAAAAATAACGATTCCGGCGAGGCAATCTTCGGCCAACTCTATTTCACCATTAAAATCTTCCGGGGAAAAAATAAATGGGTGGGGGAAGGATGGAACGAAATAAGAAGAAGAAAGACATAGGGGAAATTGAAAATTAAAAAAATAAGAAGAATGAATTAATGGGGGAAGGGACGACTGGAGAAGAAGACTTTGTGG